GCTGTCACTATTGTGGGAGGCCGCCATGCAAGTCCTCCCGGTCTCGAGCCTGGGCTCTCTGCTATCTCTGCACCTGGGCCTGGCGGTGCCCAGTCAAAACCGTGGGAGGATAGAGGGCAAAACCTCAGCGCCGGCCTCTCGGCTTTTGTGGGTTCCAGCCAGACCACGGGGGTTATTTTAGTGCAACTTCGGTATTTAATTTGAGGATGTGTGTGGATCAGAAGGAGGGACCAACACATTATTTTCTTTTCCCTTGGCCAAATGATTAAATTTAAAGTTCTAAAAAACACACAGCTTGATCCAAAGCCGTGTCCAATTGGAAGTGAGAAATGGCCAGACAATCCCTCCCCTGCCAGGACTATCCTTCCTTAGCCGCCGGCCACCACACGGGCCCATTACTGTGGGCATCACCTGGCCTGTCTGTGGTTCCCAGCCGACCAGAGCCCTGCCCCCCAGGCTCCCTTTCCCTGCCTGTACGTTGCACCTTTGCTGGAAGAACGTTCTACAGGTTTGTTCAATTTCTTACAGCCCTGAGAGCACCCTAACCAGCAGCGGCTGAGCCATGGCTGAGGGGGAAGTCACCACGTTCACGGCCCTGACCGAGAGGTTCAATCTGCCTCTGGAGAACTACAAGAAGCCCAAGCTTCTCTACTGCAGCAACGGGGGCCACTTCCTGCGGATCCTCCCAGACGGCACCGTGGACGGGACGAGGGACAGGAGCGACCAGCACAGTAAGCACCCAGGCATCCTTCTGGGAGCCCCTCCCCTTTCTGGTGTCTTCCTTAGTCAAGGGTGGGGGAAGGGCGGACATCTAAAGATTGGTACCTTCTTCTCCGGGCATGACACTCTCAAAGGCAGGGCAATAGCAATGTGGGAAGGGTCTGGGTGTGGAAACTAGAGTTGTGAGGGCCACAGCCTGCCGAAAGGAACTCTCTGTTGACTTACACAACTGCCTTGAGCTCAGATGTGGCGGCCAGTGTTCAGATGTTCAGATTTCTGTAAGTAGTGAG